CACTCATTAAAAGGCCCTGAAATTGCATGTCTCTCATGAAACAAAACGTAAACATCTAAGGAATATGGGAAAACTCCATAAAGAAGGTGTTTGGGTGCCTCATGATCATCATTTCCAACATGTGACATTGCTTCATCTCTTCTGGCACAAAATGCGCGTGAACCATTTTTTGACAGAATTGGATTCTCTATGCGAATATTAGATGTCAAAAACAATAGCTCAATCCCAGACAAAGAACACTTCCGATCCCATGGAGTCCAGGTTTTGCAGCCCACCAAATGCAAAGCATCACTTTCTGACATCAAAGGAGTAATTAATTTCAAACTTCTCAATCCACAGTGATCTATCAAGGCAGAGATCTACAGTCAGCAACTGGAATGTTTAAATCAAGCCTTTCATTAGAAACGCCCTTCACTCGTCAATCGGAAAGGTGTTCTTCTTTTCCACAACAATGCACATCCACATGTGGCACATTTAACGCAATACAATATCATGGAGTTGGGTTGGGAAGTTCTCCCCCATCCACCATATTCTTCAGATATGGCACCATCAGAGTACCGTCTATTTCGTTCGTTGCAACACCATCTTAATGGGAAAACATATGTGGAAGGTGTTAAAGAGGACATTGACATGTTTTTTGCTTCAAAGCCAAGTGATTTCTTTAATCAGGGCATTAAAAACCTGCTTGTAAGATGAAAAAGCATCATTGATAAGAATGGAGACTATTTCATTTAATAAGTGTTTTGTTTTGACATACAAGTTGTTTGGGTTTTTCATCTAAATAAAAAAGTGACATTAATTTCTTGACGACCTAATATTGTGGGTGGAAAGTTAAATAGAAGTAGTTTATACTTTAATCCTTGGTGCCATAGTGAGTCAAAAGCCTGCTTAATATCAAGAAATAGGCCTACCATAGTGTGATTTTTGTTGAATCCCTGAATTATTGATTCTGTTAACCTGACAAAATGATCAGCTGTTTGTCTGTTTTTGTGTTATGCATTTTTATTTCTGACAAAAGATACAAAAGATTATTTTTCTCTAAATACCATAAAAATGAGTTGTTATTATTTTCTCTAGGAGCTTGCCTATACTGTTGAGTAGACTTATTTGTCTATAATTCTTAGGATCTTTGGTGGTTGGGCTGGTTTTAGGCAAGATTTTAAGTATTGCTGATTTCCATTAGGAGGGATTGTACCCAAATTTAAGAAAAGGTTGAAAATGGCTGTTAAATGCTGTATTAGGGACTCTGATGCAGTTTATAATATAATATTTCTGATTCCATCTTTACCTGGTGCAGTGTTCTTCGGCATTTTGATTAGTCTTTTAACTTCTGTTTGTGTAATCGGTTTCATGATGAATTCTGTGGCTGATGCGTATCTAGAAGTATTGTTTTCTGCTGTGCACAGGAAATGTGGCATGAATAATTTTAGATTATTATCAATAAATTGTTCTACGTTGTTACAGTGTTGTATGTCAAAACCATTAAAATATAAACATTAATAAAACAAATTATAAATCCTTGTAATCAATGCTGATAATATTTCTTTTATGAATTTGCACTGATTTTTTTTTGCATATCCTGCAGTTACAAGACACTATGTAAATCAAGAAAGAAACCATGACACAAGATGTTCTAAACTCCCAAGTATGAAAATAAAAAATTAATAAAACCACATAATAAAATGGTAGCAAATGACCTAACACTATGCAAATAAATACAATTAAATTTTATGGAAAACATTTGAAATTTTTCAACGATTCTTCTTATTTTTTTTGTTACGTCACTCAATGATCTGATGATACAAAAAATTTCATAATCAAAAATTACAAAAACATCTTCAGCACTACTTAAGAATTCACAATAAATTTCTTTATGTACTATAAAAGTTAATAGAGTTTCATGGCTGAAGATTTACGATATTTATCTTCAAAGTGTACATGTACTTTGCAGAGTATCAAATGTTCTTCCAAACAGTAAGTGTGTATGTATCACGGTTGCATGTTGATGTGAAAGACGATGCACAATAAATTACTGGAATAGTTTATTTTACCTGCTGCTCACCACCACTAGTGCTGGTTATCTGATTAACATTTGGCAAAGAACCTCCTCTATAAGCTCCAAGAGACTGATTAATCAGTAGTTGTTGTTTCTGATGAACAACCTGAAAGCAAGACATCAAAAAGTTTTATTTAGACATCAAGATTAATAAAATTGACTAAATAAACCTGCAATTTTATGATAAATGACTCAAAATCTTTCACAAATGTAAATCTTTTTCACTGAAAACCTAACAAGTTTTAAATATTTTCATGAAAATACTTGAGAATTTTTGTTAAATTCTGAAAAATCACTGCAGCTGATTTGAGAACCTAAGCACTCTACTGTTTTGGATGCACCCATTACATTGAAACCCAAACATTTTTGCCAACAATGCATTGCAGTCAGCCTCCTTTGCAATTCTCTTTAAAATAACACTAGGAATGACTAAATACGGTTGTAAATTGCCCACTACACAATCATATTGCATATACACTATGATCTAAGGCATTAGGTTGTGTCAGGTTTTTATGCATGTATGGGCCGGATTCTTGACAGTAGATGTCTGTGACTTGTTGGCAATAAATTTCAATAACCAACAAACAGCACACAGTCCACTTGTTTTAAAATAATATATTAAAACAAGTCAAATGTATATATATATACTGTGGGTTACCACAGTTGTACCCACAGCTTTAAATAATTCTCTTTTCCTCAAAGTCTACACACATTGGTTCAGTTACTTCAGAACACAATTGACAAGACAAATTATTTCTTCTCTGCTCTGTTATTACAATACAATTAGTGATATGTTCACTTACATTACACTGTTGGTTACCACAGTTGTATTCAGAGCTTTAAATAATTGTCTCTTTTCATCAAAGTCTACATGTTGGCAATAAATTTCAATAATCAACAAACAAAACAATAAAAATAATCATCAAAGCCTACACATGTTTGCTCAGTTACTTCAGAACACAACTGACAAGAAAAATTAATTATTCTCTACATAAGTTCACTTACATTACACTGTTGGTTACCACAGTTGTATCCAGAGCTTTAAATAATTGTCTCTTTTCATCGACGCCTACACATGTTTGTTCAGTTACTTCAAAACACAATTGACAAGAAAAATTAATTTTTCTCTACAATGTTATTACAATACAATCTGTGATAATTCACTTTAGAAATCACCACTATACGCTCTCATGGTTAAACTCACAATCATGCAGTCTAGATCTATCTATCTATCTCACTAACTACGTCTTACTAACTTGAACTACATTTTGTATGCATATTTATAGTCTGACCAAGACCTAGAATGTTCTACACACTACAAGATATGTGATAAACTATAACTTCTCAACATAACTAAATTTAACACTTACATCAAACATAAATTGAAACAGTTGTGTATATCTAAAAGGTTGACTGCACATTTTATATTTATTCATCACTATTTTTAGGAAATCTACCATTGAATTATTTCAATGAGAATCTACTAGTTAATTCAAAATTGTTTGGTGACATCTATTACTCATAAACACAAATAATTACACAAAAAATGCACTAAAGAAATACATGTACAATAATCATAGACTTGAGACTAAAATTCAGACACATTCTTCATTCTTGAAATTAACCTATGTATATTTTCTTATTCATTAAGTACATTTGTACTCTGTTTAAAACAGTGTTCATAACTGAAAAATCTGTAATACATTTAACTGAATGCACAGTGTTAAGCAGAGCTGTGCAATTAAGGAATTTGTTAATCACTTAATCTGGCTTATTAATCAGTTATTCTCACATGAATTTGGATAGCTGAAATAATCTAAAATAGTAATAATAGAAACACTAATTATATTAGTTGATTATTTTCATGAGTCATGACACTAATTGATTAAGCTGAACAATCTTGAATCAATCTAAAAATAATAAAGAGAAATGATAATGACAACATTTCAATTATTTGGATAGTTAGAATAATCATAAACAATAAGAATCAGAGCACTAATTTCTCTGACATTAACTAATTTAATCATAATTTTGATTAATTGATTATTTTACATAACATTAATGGATGAAAACAATAGTCCTAAGTAATGGACTGTCAATTAATCAAGTTAATCACCCAACTCTACTATTAAAATTAAACAGACATGATTTTCTAATACTTTATATTCAAAATACAAAATCAACAAGACATTTAAATGTAATGTTAATAATACTGAAACATCAAGATTTTTCAAACTGTTATGGACACACTGGAAGAGACAATATTATTCAAAATATTATTCATTTAATACTAGGAATATGCAGTCAATGTGTTAACACACAGATCACTAATTTAAGGAAGTTTACAAGAAGTATAAGGAACTGGCAGAGACTTTTAAGATCATAAAACACACAAAGTTTATTAAAACATACAATCTACAATTGAAATCTTCATTGCTTAAATTTTAAATCTAATCTTCAACATTGTGCTTAGAACTCACAACAACAGTTCAACCATTATCAGTAACAGCCACAATTCAAATTGTTAAAGAATGCAATTTTTGTGCTTTATACACATTCACTCTTAACTTTTAAATTTTACAAGTTTAAAATTTGTTTAAAGACCCCATTTATAGATTCCCAATTTATTATTTTATGGTTAGCCTTCAACAGCTACAGAGCTGGTCATTATTATTATTTTATTTTATTCAAGTTAAAACTACTTAAGTTCCAACTTGATGGTAACCTTAAAACAAGACATGGTTTCCAATAGTGGGATCTTACTTGTTGTCTCAGCATCTAGTGATACAAAATGAAACCCTATTCTAAGTCTTCTAAGGTCTTTCGAAGAAAACAATCATTAAATTAAAAACAAAATCATAAAACCAAAACCAACAGTTAATTTTTGTTATTTTCATAACTTGAATACTTACAAACAAAATTTTTGCTCTTTGCACATTTATTTACTGTATAATAAAAAAAGGTTTTTAGAAACAGATGTTTATAGGACAAGAATATACAAATTTTACCAAGGCTTGAATTGGAACAACAGCAGAAAATTAGATTGTGCTTTCAATATATACATTACCAGATGCTCTCTATTCTGGCACTCTAACCTGGGTGGTCTTTTCCATTTGTAAAATAATAATTCATATTGGCAAGTGTAAAGTTTGTACAAAAGATCCATACTTCATTGCATACTATTAATACTAATATGAACATTTAATTTCCTGACAACAATTTAAACTAATGAAGTCTTAAATTGTATCTCAAAAAACTCTCATGTTACTTCCTCCTTTAACAGTTTAAGTTTCAATTTCATGGATTTATGTAATTCTTTTAAATTATTCCTATATGTAAAATAGAAAATATATATTTCTCTTCAAGACTAGGAAATACCCTAGTGAATAGGGGTACAACTTATGAAAAACAACAAATCGTGGAACTTCTGATCGCAACTACTGAATTCTCATGGAATACAGAAAACTAAAAGGAAAACTTTAGCTGTCAGTGTATACTTAACTTCTTAAGACTTAGTTAGATGTTGGAACTTTAAACTTAAAAGTTAGAGTTTGACTAGCTCAGTCTTATTTAACTCTTCATACTCAGTTATTGAATACAAAAGTCAAAGCTAATATTCTGCATTACCATTAATATATCAGTATAATGCGAAATTTTAAATCTAAAAATAATACTTTTTTGTTTGTTTACTAACTTTCATTCGCCCCAAAAAAGAAAAGTTAATGAATCATAATACATAAGGCTTAACAAACCCGTTTTGCTCCAAGAACTTCCCGCATAACTTGTTCAAACGCTGCAGTTTCCTCTGCTTGCTTCTGAGTGTGAAGAGCAATCTTCTCACTAAATTTCCTTGGATTTGCCATCGTTTTAATTTAAGTTACATTATTTAAAAACGTTTTAAAATCACTATGTTACTTTTTACAAAACAATAAAGTTTTTAAATCTTCATCACATATATTCCAAATGACAGTTAATAAATGCAAAACATTTTCTAAAAGACTAGCATTGATAAACTCAAAAATTAAAAACTCAAACGATCAAAACATTTTTGCAGAGAATTTAACAGCGGCATCTGGTGAAGCAAATCTACATAATGTTTATACGGCTCCAAATATTACACGTGGTAAAAGTACTGTTGCGTATCTAATCGTTTGTTAATTTGCCGTAGAAATTATTTCTGAGAAACTTCAGCGATACAAGTCCTTTCT